ACAGCATGAGTTCCATCTCCGGCCAGGCAGCTGACCCACATGGCGCAGCAGATCTCTCCTGTCTCGCCCGCTCTCCCCTCAGCAGTGGATTTCAGTAGATCTGCCTATTCTGTTCCCCACTCTGTCTCTAGTAAATCCTCTCAACCTCCACACCTCTGGCCTGTACCCCAGTTCTTGTATGCATAAATAAATAGGAATAAATCTTTTAAGCAAAAAATAAACCACTCTGATAGAAATTTTGGTGGGAGTGGAACAAACTCAAAGATAAGAAATGTGATCACTCATTGAGTAAGTGGCAAGTCCTGGATTCATGCCCAGGTCTTTCTAACACCGAAAGGTATGTGCATGCCAAGCTGCTACTCCGCCTCTCTCCCAGGAGGGCAAAGGACATGCCTGTGTCTCCACAGCTGCAGAGGGAAGGGCAGCTGAGCTGAGGATGCCTTGTGGAGACAATAGAGGCTGTTAAGGGAGCAGCTGGCTGCTTGGGGAGAAGAACAGGTGTGTGGTGTCAGATCTGGGAGCAGCAAGTTACCCCAACTAAGTGGGGAGGGAAAATTTAGGGATTATGTCTCTGGCTTACCCAGGGTCTTTGCAGGGCTGGTTACCTTAGAAACATCTCCACCAAATATCACTGACTGCACATCTGCTGAGACTTCTGTTGCTTCTCTAGGCACAGCACTTGGAATACCCTCCTGTCCCGCACCCCATATTTACAGGGTCCGCCCTTAGTAAAAAAGCATCAGGTACTGTCCACTCTCCTTTCCTGATGAACAATGCAAGTCAGAAGAATTCAGGATGGCCCCAAAGTCTCACAATTAGAGGCAAAACCTAGGCCCAGATAGTATAGTCAAATCCCGTGCACAGGAGAACTTTGGAGATTTACATCTGCACTGATTTTCTTTCTTTTTTTTTTTTCTTTTAAGATTTATTTATTTATACAAGCACTGGGTATAGTCAGAAGCGCGGGAGGGTGAGAGAATTCACCAGAGCCAGAGCGGGGAGCAGATCAGGGGCTCTGGGCAGCTTCAAAAGCCCAGCGCTCAACAGCTGCCCCACCAGGGGAGGCCCTGCTCTGATTTTCAATGACTGTTTTGTAGGCAGAGAAAAGGGGAACTCAGGGGGGCTGACTGGAAATCTCCTGGCCAGTGGGCATGCAATTCTGTTCCCTTCAAGTAGGAGAGCTGTACGATCGCATCACCATTTGAAGTGGAAAACAGGTATCAGTCTTTTGTTCAAAGAGCGGGAAAGAAAGCTTGTCTAAGAGCATGTGGGAATCAGTAACTTCACCCACATGGCCTTGTCAGGGAACTCCCAGGCTCTTAAGGCAGCTCCAAGAGCTGGAGGCCCCGGATGAATTTATCACTGAGACAGCACTGCCACCTTGTGGTAGGGGTTGAGCACTGTGCCCTCCTAAACCGCCTGGGAAGTACTTCAGCATATTACCATAGATTGCTGCTTGTCCTTCACTTTTTTTCTCTTTATTTAGCTTGTGTGACTAACAGGACAGACAATAGTGATATTTTCTGAGACAGGGAACACAATAAGGGAGACAGTTTAGTAGGAAGGAGAGTGAATTTGTATTTGAGCAAACTGACTTAGGAGTGTCTCTGAAAGGGAAAACAGCAGAAATCCTATTGATCTTGTGGCCAAGAGATAGATTTAAATAAATGAGGTCCACCTAACTACTGTTGAGCTTATTTCTCTATGTGGAAAATATACCTTTTAGAGAAAATATAGATATAACTTAAGCTATAATTAATTTATGTATATATGTATATATATTATATATATTTTATATATATATATATATATATATATATATATATAGCTAAGCAGGCACCCTACCCCTCTTCCTCCTCAGGAAAATCATTTAGTGGGGATCTCCAGAGGTGGCCAGGGAATGTCTCTTCCTTTGGCTCACAGACAACTTGTTACTTCATTTGTAACTTTAAGTTTGCTTTTCAGTAGGCAGATTCTGAAGGGAACTTCTGAGTGACCTTGATGGCCCATGGTCTATGCCTGATTCCCCTCCCTTGGACACAGCCCAGCCCCAGTCTTCGCTGCTGAGTTTTAGTCTTGCTTGCACCTGCTTTATTCACAAATGCCATGAAGAGACACGGTGCCTTGTGCTTCGGAGGCAACTGGAGAGGATCTTGGCACGGTATTCTGTCTTCACAGTGGCACATGGCAGCTGTTCATTAAACATCTGTTGAGCGGGCGAGGACTCACATCCAGGCTGCCTTGGTTCCCGTGGGAGGTACATATATACATCCAGGATGGGGACCCCAGAATTAGTGTCATAAACCCTGATGCCCCCAGGCTCCTCAGGGAACACACGAGCTACAGGTGAAGGGAAATAGGATGCCCTGGGCAAAGGGCAGAACCACCGTGGAGGAAGGCTGGTGGGGCATCATCTTCAGACATCTGGAGTTTTAAATAAATTGTCCTGATATTCAGATGTTGGCAACTAAGCAATACGCAGCTGTCTGCCTGGCTGGTGGGCTGGTAGCTAACTCTCAGTGAGCACTTAATGTTCTGGTAACATTCCAGCCCTTCCTACATGGACAAGTCACCATTATGTCACCACATGTCACAAGCTGGGAGACATGTGCAAGGCAGAGTAAGTCACTCGCATCAGGTCATGATTTAGTGAGTGATGTTTGAACACTGTCAGGCTCCCACGCGCAAACCCGGGGCTTGCACCCCTTTCAATGTAAGACTCAGTCCCAGAAGCTCTGATTTAATGAGCAGTTACATCATTTTGTATAAGGCCCACACACCCCTGTGGAGTCCACATTTATATCCTTGCATACATTGGCAGTAAAATTAGTTGAAAATGACTTTCCCAAGATTTCTCAGCTTCTGCATGGAGGACTGTGGACACACTCAGACCTGTCCGACTCTAAAGGCCACTTCTACCTGCTGCCTGGCTTCTTGCAGAAGGAATCTCCTGTTTCTGCCATGCTGAAAGGGCCATCAGGATGGTAGATAAGCATCTGGAGCTTGGTTTCAGTGGCTGGGGGGCAGGAGTCCCGGGGTGGGGGGTTCAGTCCAGGGTAGCGGGGTCAGTCCTGGGTCTGAGCAGCCTCATGGAGATGCTCACTGGGCTCGGTCCTGCTTGCTTTTCTGTGGCGAGAGGCACGGCCAGATTCCCTGGACCATCTCACTGCCCAGGCTGTAGTTAATGGCATTGATCGTGGGCACCATTTTGGCAATGAGGGCGGGCACCTGTTGTAGCAGAAAAGTCCTGAAAATAAGCTTCAAAGTACTGGCTCCTCTCCCTGGTCCCGGCTGGTGACACCCTCTCCCCTTTCCCAGTCACCCATCGTGTATCCTCAACTTGGTTCTACAGACTCTGAACATTCCCTGAATAGTTGGCGGAGAATGAAGAGAAGCACATGCCAACCCAGGTACCAGTCTCAGCCTGGACCCAGCGTGTGCACCTTCTCTGTCTGCTGACGGTCCAATGCTTGGCTTGAGGCCCAGCACTGACATGTGGCAGCCCAGGGGGAAAGCAAACACACATTGCCTTACGAGGGCTCAAGGGAAAAGAGAAAGAGACTAGCATGGAGGCCACATGAGGCCAGAGAGAGGGATGGGTGAAACAGAGGCACATCAAGACAGAGAAGTGTCAATACCATCTGCAGCTTTGGGGAGATGGAAGACACATCCGCGATGGCTGCATAGAGATACAGGAGGGCGTAGGGGCCCCAGCAGAGGAGCAACGTCCTGATGGGCAGAGAGGTGTTCACCTGCAGAGAAATCATTGCAGGGGGCAGTGTTGGCTTGTTCCAGATGGCTGGCAGCCCCCTGCGACCAGAGACCAGGTTGGCTCTTGGCAGGGCTGGGTAACATGTCCAGGCTGTGGGAAGGTGCTGAGCCAATAAAGGAACTTGGGACTAAATTAACTTCTTTGCTTCTTAAGCTGTGTGACCCTAAACCTGTCATTAAAGCTAACTTGAACTCAGTTGTGTTGTCTGCTAAATGGCCTGGTATTACCTGACTTGCCTGGAGGCAGGGACTGAGGGACATTATGAGCTTCCTTGCTGGTCTGTGCTCGTTTTGAAGAAATCTGGGCTCTGTGAGTGAGGCTGTGTGCCTGAGAGTTCCCAGGCCGAGCTGCACTCACATCTGAGTCCCAGCACCAGCTGCCTTCTGCAGCTGTAGCCACTGACTGGGCAACCTGCTTTGGTTTCAAAGAGGCCCCGCCCACCTTGGGAGACCACCAAGAAGTGGCTAGTGCTACCACTTGGGGACGCAAGGGGGCGCACACGACTGACGCTCAATTTCAGAATGGAACTTGCCTGCTCCCCATGTACAGATGGTAAAATTCTGACGCTGCAAAAATCAGATCCTTTATCTCATGGCTCATGTTTCTTTTTAACAAAGAAGATGACTCAAGTAGAAAGAGGACGCATTTTCCTCATGGAATTTTGAATTTTTGATTTTGAAATATGTTGACTAAGAGACAGTTATTCCTCTTGAGTTGCTCTTCATTCATTAAAAAAAAAAGTGCATGTGCTGCTTTAATGCGGTGGAGAACTGACCTCTCAGTGAGGAGAGACCCTGTCACCTCAGGAAATCCATCAGCAGGCAGCCGAGGTCCCTGGGTGTGGTTGGCAGTGCCTGCTGATGCTATCAGATTTGATAGTTTTAAGTCAACCAGGAAAAGTGAGAAAATCTGTGTGGTGGCCTTGTTTCCTGGCTGACTGAACTTTCAATAAATGTGGTGATTTGGAGCATCAGCAGCCTGCAACAACCAGGAGGCTGTGGTGAGCCAGCCAGCCCAGAGTGGGGATCCCAGAGATGTAATTCTGGGCCTGCCACAGCCTTGCCCTCCTGTGACCTCAGGGGATCCTGGGTCTCCAGCTAAAATCCCTTGATACTGTCCTTTTCCACTTCACAGGAAAAAACTGTAATAATGTGGCAGATTAAAGGTCTCAACAGAATGGTATTTTTAATGCCTGGTATTAATCACTTGGGTTGTAGAGGTCCAGACCCGAGCTAGAGCCAACTCTTCTAATTACTAGTTCCCTGGCATTTGCAGGGTTAGTTCCTAAACGCCTTTCAGCCTCAATTTTCTAGTCTGACATAGGGATAATAAAACCTTCCTTCTTGGGCCTCCCTGGTGGTATAAGGGGTTAAGTCTCAGCACTATGAAGCTATCCTGCATCATGATTCCTGGACAGGGAGCTGACCCACATGGCGCAGGAGACCTTTCCTGTCTCATCCTCTGCTTCCCTCAGCAGTGTATTTCAGTAGATCTGCCTGTTCTGCTCCCCACTGTCTCTGATGGATTCTCCCCCCCCCAACCCCTTCTGGCCTATACCCCAGCTCTTGGATGCATAAATAAATAAATCCTTAAAAAAATTTCCTTCTTCAGCAAGTGCTTACAAAGATGAAATGACATAATGCACAGCAAGTAATATTAGTGTTTTCTAAAACTTTGGTGCTGGTGATGGCTCATCTACTAGAGATTGCCCATGTGATAAGCTTAAAAGGAAATTGTGGTGTAGGAATATTAACACATAAATTCAGAAATGGCCAGGAGGGTTTATTTAAAGTAGATTGTTTTTCTTGGATAAATGTGCTTGCAGGTGTTATTTTATATTGTGGGTAACAGCCTGTGCCTGCAATTAAATGAAACATCTCAAAATAATTTAAAAGTAGCCTTTAAAAAGCATGTAATTTTGTTGTCGATCCTTAAATCTTTGCAAAGAATGAAATGTAACTGTGTGGATGGTGTCAGCAGGGTGCCCTGCTTCTCAGGCTTAAGAAAACTGAGCAAGTCTGAGCTCGCTGATCCTTCCCCCAGCTCTTTGTGATCCTTAACATGGGCGGGCAGGGGGTGTGCATTTCTGCCTCAACACTCCATTAGGCTGGGTGTTGGAGACACTGAGGCCTCTGATTGTTGTCTGTTACATCATTCATTTTCCCTGGTGTCCGAGAGGGGCAGAGAGGTCTTTCCTGTTCTAGGAGTTAGTCCTTACCTGGGGGTGGCCAGTCTTCCCGAGTTTCTGCTCCATGAGCTGATAGGATGTGTGTGTGATAAAGAGAGGCAGGAGGTAGTTGAAAAAAGCCATGGTGATGAGAAAGCTGATGAAGTTTCTGTAGGCATAGGGGGTAGAGGGGTGAGTATTATTTCTCTGGGATGATCATCTCCCCTCAAAGGCGATATATCGCCTCTGTGCTAGTCAGTGGGAGGGCTGTTCCCATCAGACTAGTGTTCAGAGTGTGGGGGCATCTGGGGCCCAGCTGAACTGCCCTCAGGTCAGGAAGCTGCTGACAAGAGGGAGAGTCCCTCTTCAGCTTGCTGTGGGGAAGTTCAAGTGCTCAGCCCTGCTCTCCGTTCTCCAAGCATGGAGAATGGGATGTTTCAGATTGGGAGATGTGTTTATCATATGGATGAGATGACAGTGGACCCAAAGGAAGGAGCCTTGAAGGAGTGTTCTAGGCACAGGGATTTGAAAGGGGTCTGCAGGTGACAAAGAGGCTGGACACTGCCACTGAAAAAACAAGTCATTGAAGCGGCCACAGAAAAGCCAGGGTCCCAGGTAGTGGTCACGGGGAGGCAGGCAGTCTGACCAGGGGCAGGTGGGAGGGAGATTACTATTTCGTAGAGGAGGGACTGTGTTACTTATAGCTGTTCACTAAGGAAATCCAATCATGATTGGACACAAGCTGGGGAAACACCTTCAGTGGGTGCCCAGGAGAAATACTTGGACTAGGACCAGTGGATTTCTCCTGGGAAGCATGTCATCAGGGGAAGATTCTTTGTAAGTAAGCGTGAGTAAACATGTAAAGCAAACAAGTGTAGTGTGGCTCCAGTGGATGTAAGAGGGGTTGGAGCCCATGTGATCTCTTTCCAATGCAGTCTCTAAAGTGTCTCTCGAGCCCTGGGCCCCCCAGAGCCCTGTGGATGGGGCAGTACTAGACCTGCGATTCATGTTGGTGGGGCCATCATGTATTTGATCCTGGTTGGTCCAGGGACTGGCTCACAGCACATGCTCAGGAAATTCAGAGAACTGAACTCCGAGCCAAGGAGGTCCCTCCCAATGCAAACACCTTAACATTCTTTTAACCTATTGAATCAAGAACATGGCTCCTTCTCCAAGCTGATAAAGTTGGAGCTGGGACAGCTATTGTGCTGGAGATGGAAAAAGCATCATGGGTTGAAGATTGCCCCCAAAATGGCAAAAAGCTCAGTGACTGTTATGACCAACAAGAGCCAATAACTCACTGTCTAATGCTCCTTCTTTGATTCCTAATCTGTGCTTCCATTTGCATAATATTCCCATCACTTGGCCCATCACTTGGTCTTCAGAATGGGCTTTCCTTTGTTCCACTGTCAGCTTGTAAGTGATTATTATCACTACAGGGTGAAGATTATCTGGGATATGTCGACATTTCCCCATCTGGATTTTCAAATGTGACGTTGTCAGAAGTGTTCAAAGCCCAGATTCTCTGGGAAGGGGCTGAAAGTTGCTCCTCTCACCTCACCTGTCCCCCTTGGCATAGTTCAGGGTGCAGCATGTCCCCAAAGGTTCATAGTCATAGTGGCCCCAGCCCAGGAGGGGCAGTGCTGCCCAGAAGGCAGAAGACAGCCACACGCCGAACACCAAGAACACAGCCATGTTCCATGCCAGTCGGCTGCCTGCAGTGGGGAGAGGAGAAGGATGGTTGGGAGGAGACTGGCAGCCAAAATGAAAAGGAAAGGCCCTATAGAATATCCCTAAATCCTGGTTCTGATGTCCAAGAGCTTAGTGACTCAGGCAACTTCTCTGGGGGCCTCCGTGGTGGCACAGGGGTTAAGACACAGCACTATGAAGCTATCTGCAGCCACTGCAGCATGAGTTTGATGCCCAGTCAGGGATGTGACCTACATGGTGCAGCAGACCTTTCCAGGCTCACCCGCTTCCCCTCAGCAATGTATTTCAATCTATCTGCGTGTTCTGTTCCCTACTCTGTCTCTGGTGAATCCTTTCACCCCCCACACCTCTGGCCTGTACCCCAGTTCTTGCATGCATAAATACATCTTTTTAAAAAAGTTTCTCTGAACCTCAGTTTTGTCCTCGTCAAAACTGGAATGAAAATCCATGCCTTGGAGGATGGTTATGAAGAAGAGAGGTAATGGGTGGTGAAGATATCCTAGTAAACACTCCATACCATCTTATTTAGAGGACAGAGAGTAGGGGGTGGCAAAGACAGGTGTGCTTCCCAAATCCAAGTCAGGGGAGAAGCAAGGGCAGGGCTTCTGGTGAGGGTCATGGGGGTGGAAGGCAGAAGTCTGGACTTACTCCACCTTCAGCTTTTGCTCAGAAGCAGGCCACTGTCTCTGCTTCTAGGAGACCCTCTGAAAACTTTCAAGGTGGGATTCAGGCTCCATCTCAGTGCCAAAGCAGAGGCTGTGTCCCAATAGCATCTTTTGGTGTTACTGTCCCACCAATGTGACCTCCTCCATGTTTCCTCCACCCACATCCCTCTCTCTGACAGCTTCTTCCAACCATTCCTGTTCAGTTGCTCCTCCTGAACTTGGCTTCAGAATGCCTTTCCCAGATGCCTCCTCTGTCTATGTCATGCCCCTTTGTAGACATGACCTCATAGCAGAAGGCAGGACTCCAGGTCGGATTTGATCTGCAGAAATGAGCTGGTCTACAAATCCCCTCCCTTATCCCAACCATTTGCTTCCATTGATATAGCCCCAGAAAGTTTGCTTGCATATATCCTCCTGCTATGGGCTGAATGTTAATGCCTCCATCCTCCAGTTTCCCCTCAGTTTGTATGTTGAAGCACTATTCTCCATGCTATGGTATTTGGAGGCTAAGACTTTGGAAGGGAACTAGGTCATGAGGGTGAGGTCCTCCATGAGGGCATTTGTCCCCTTAGAAGAGGATGAAGAGACAAGAATTCTGTCTCTTCAATGTGAGGACACAGTAAGCAGCCAGCCATCTGCAAGCCAGGAGGAGTGCGTGCACCAGAACTCAATCATGCTGGCACCCTGGTCTTGGACTTCCAACCTCCAGAACTGTGAGATTTGATGTTTTATTGTTTAAGCCACCCAGTCTATGGTATTTTATTATGGCTCCTTGAGTAGACTAAGACTTGTCTGTCTCCCGCGATCGGTACAATAATTAAGTCCTTTGACCCACGAGCCTCTTCAACTTTGGAAACAACTAAGGTGACACACCAAGGCCCCCATTAATGCAATAGATGAGCTCAGCCTCCGCCTCCCCCTTCCCTGATTTCACACTGATAGGCACTACCCAGCACAGGAAGAGCTTTGACTCCGGGGCCCTGAGCTAGGAATTAACTCTGTATTGAGGTAGAGAAGCCTTTTGTTCTTGAGAAGGCGTGGGCAGGGCTGGCATAGGAGCAGTAGGAGAGGAAATCCAAGTCAGGTGGAGCAGGAAGGCCTGACTTACTACTAGAAATGATAAGAACAGAGGCAATTTTTTACCTGGAGAGAGGCCAAGGGGAGGTGGCTGTGTGTCTGTGGCTAGGATGGATCTGCAGATGCCACAAGGGCATGGCCGAGGCTTCAGGACATGCTCATGAACCCCATAGTAGCCTCCATACCAGGTAGGCCCTCAGCTCAGGACTTGGGGCCAAGGAAATTAGGGAGCGACTGCCTCTGGAGGCATCCAGGCCATGCCTGATCCTAGCTGTCCTGCTAGTTGTGTGGCTCTGGGCAAGCTACTAAACTTCTCTGAGTCTGTTTCCCAGTCTGCATGCTGGGGCTGCTGTGAGGGCTAACTGAGGCATGGCTCCCCAAAGTATGTTTACATAACTTGATGCTGAATAGTATTCTATTCATTCTAGGTGAATTTTTTTTTTAAGACTTTAATGTGTGTTAAATTATAAGAACATGAAAGGTGTGATTTCACAGATATTGTTTAGAATGAAGCTAAAGACAGCATTTAAGTGTCACTTTTAAAGGGAAAATCTCAAGTAAATAACAGAGCAGGTGCTGCACTGATATTGTTATAGGACAGGGAGAGGGGCAGCCCAAACCCCGCAAACCTGCCTATTCTAAATGGGTTCTGCCATCCGCCGCATCAACACAAAACATAGGAGACTTTAATGGGAAGGCTCTTTAATAAAACTAGGAAACAATACAGGTAAGGCAAAGAGTCTAGTTTCTAAATGAAGCACCCAAAGTTACCCGTCCCCTCGTGGGTAAAAGTCCATCCACATGGGATCGGCCCAGAACAAGGCCCCAAAGCCTGCCACAAGTCTAAAGCATCTTCCAGTGGGGACCCCCAGAAAAGAGTCAGAAACAACCAAACAAGCCCGGAAGGAAAAGAGCAAAATCAACATCAAGATAAAAGCTGTCATGGTCACCTCCCCACGGGTCTAACCCACATCTGTGTCACCCAGTCCATGACCAAAAGACAAGCATAGTTTCTTCACGTGTCTCTAGGCTCCATGTGCCTCCTCCAGGTCTCCTGGCTCCATCCTGCTTCCTTCCTTCCTCAGTCTCTTCTTGCAGCTTCTTCTCTTCCTGCTCAGCTCCACCCTCCCTTGGGTGGGGCAGGGAACCTCCCCCTTTCCTGGGGACCACCCTGTTACAATATGGCCAATTATGAAGGTCATATTTGACAATGCAGCTTGGGAATCTGGAGCTAGATGAGTCTGTGAAGCACTGGCATGGCAGACCCCAAGAAAGAGTGAGGTGTGGGCCCAGTTACACACACACACACACACACACACACACACACACACACACACACACAGCCTCTCTGCCTCCAAAAGTGCTTTCTGCAAGGATTTTTTCTGTATTCATGATCTCATTTGATTTTCAAAATAAAACTGGGGGGTTGGTCGTAGATATCATCTCACAGAGGAGACTAAGGTTCATAAAGGCCTCTGACTTGCCAGAGACTGCAGTGAGGGTACAAACAGCCTTTCCAGCACTTGCCTCAACACCTCTCTTGCAATTTCTTCCACCCTCCCTCCTTTCCTGACTTTTCACACCTCACATTCATGCACACTCACCCCACCCCCCTCTCCTGAACTGGAAAACACCAAGCAGACTCCAGCCCCATCACCCTCACTGTGTGGATGTCCCTCCACTCAAGGAGCCCAAAGACCAAACTCACACGTGCAGTAGTGGAGATAGTGGCCCCAGGCAAGGGCTGCACTGCCGCAGAGGCTGGCCAGCGCCATCATAAAGCCCTGGAAGCCATGGGCTTGGCAGCCTTCGGAGCCGTAGGGCCAGCGCCTGTGGGAGACACTGGGTTCCAGTGACCTCTGCCTTTTGACCCTGCCTTTCTCCCACGCCAATGCACCAGCTTCCTGGAGGGCACCTTCCTGAGTGTTGGCCCAGCTCCTAAGAGGAACTTTACTCTGCTTTTCCTAAGAGGAAACATATCAGTGCCTTAGAGCTAAAGTCAGGGGCTGACAGAGTGGAGCCCCAGGCAAATTCTGCAGGCTCTACTCTTTCACCACGCGCTTCGCTTCGTGGCTAGAACAAAGGCTCTCTCTGTGGGGAAATGGAGCTGATTTGAAGGAGAGCTCCTGCTTTTATTCTACACGGTTGGGGGGTGGGGGGTGGGTCACACAGCTGTTGAACACAAAGTCAGAAGGTGGAGCCCAAGTCTTGCATCTCTCAAGCCCCAAGGGCTACTCAGAGGTAGCTGCTTCTGTTGCCCCTCCTCCCCCAAGCTGGGTAGGGGAGTAGGAGATCAGGGCAAGGGATCGGATCCTCACTGATTCAGACCCCACAAAGTAGTGGGCTCTGAGCATACACAGCCAGGTCTCTGTGGTACCCCAAACCAGATGACGGATATTTAGTTCACATAGGAAACCAATCCTGTAAACACCTTCTGATGCCACTCTGGAAGGCCCTGGTTTGCAAAGAAGGTCTTAGATTCTTGCCAAAATCCTGTTTGCTCTCACAAACACTTATTTAGGGCTTCCTAGGTGCCAAACATTGTTTCAAGTTGTTACAAGTAATAACAAGTCCATACATCCAACTGCCTTGTGAATTAGGTAATGATATCCAGTTTATGGGAGAACTCAAATGATAGAAAGAATAGAGCCAGGATTCAAACCATGGGGCTGGTTACAGGGTCCATGCTCTTAATCCCGACCATTAGCCAGCTCTGTTGCTTGGGTCTGAATAACTTCTGTTTCCAGAAAGCAGCTGAGGTTCCTCAGGGATAGTCTAGAATTCAGATTTAGGCTAAATTTGCCTGCCTACTGCTCTATCCTTGCTTCCTATAAGTGGGAAGGATGTCTCCCTGGCTTGGCTGCCTGGTTCCCAGAGGTTAGGCCCCAGGCAGGGCTGCAGAGCCCAGGGACTGGGGAGGTGGCTGGTACCTGAGAAGGCTGGATGTGGCTGCAACAAGGGCATTCAAGCTGATTCCACTGTCGGCTAGCGCCAAGCTCAGCACCAGCAGGTGACTGGGTGTCCGCAGCTCTGGGGCCTTGCAGAAGGAGAGGATGGTCAGGCTGTTGAGGCTGAGACCAGAGAGAGCTGAAAGGAAGGGTATAAGCTGACATCAGGACTGAAGAGGCCCACCTGAAGTCAAAACCAGGAGCCGGGGGCTGGGTGGATACTCAGTAATTGCCCCCTTCATGCTCAGGAACCTTGTTAGTGTAGCTGGTTCCCCAATCCCAAGAGCCAGGAAATGCACACCTGTCCTCTACCAACTCATAATCTAATGGAAAGACAGACAAGGAAGAAAACTAATAAAACATAGCATGGTCTTTGCTATAACAATCATCATGATGGTCACTTGTTGAGTTTGTGCCAGGCAAGGTGCTAAGCACTTGATGTAGTTCAGCTCAATCTTCACTTGGATTGTCCTCAGTGGGAAGGGAAACAGAGGCTCAGAGATGCTGGACCAATTGATGCTAAGTATGCAATGGAGCTGGATTCGAACTCAAGTTGTTCGTATTCCAAAATGCTTTCTCTAAGGGCTGTGCAGCAACATCAGGGAGAGTGTTGGAGAACAGGAACCCAGTTAGGACTGGGAGCTGCCACCCAGGACACCAGGCAGAGAGATAAAGCCCAGGGAGTAGATTAAGCTCCCTCCAGGTTGAAGGAACATAAAAGACCTGAAACCTGATACTTGGTCATGTCCTCCTTTCAAAGTCCCTCCCTCCCTGAGCCTCTGCTGGCTTCTGTCTTAGGATTTCCAGCCTTCAGGCTATATCCCACAGGGGAAGCCATCAGAAGATCCCAAGGATCAGGCACAGGCGTAGGGTTTGAGGACCTCTCCTTGAAGCTTCATAGCTTTGGACTGGGATCTGGGAGCCCCTAGGTCACCCTCACCCCAGCTCTGGCTCACCTTCCACCAGCAGGACTGTCCTCACTGCCAGCACCTCCACCTCCCCAAAGCCAGTGGGCAGGGCTCCAGACTGTGCCATCCTTGGCTGTTTCCTTGTTGGCCCAGCTCTTCTCTGGCTGCCCAGAGTCAGGCTCTTCCCTTTTAAAGGGCCATCCCATGTGCTGGCACATGCAGGTGATTATGCTAAACCTTGGGGTTCTTCTTGCTGCTCCCAGCCCCCAAATCATCCTCTTGGCCAAAGAAGAAGGAGCCGATTCACCAGTTGGACAGAGCAGCCTTTGTGAAGCTGGAATGGAGCCCTGCGTCATTCATTTTTCTGCAAAGGATAGGATTAAGGATCTAGAATCCGAATGGTGTGCGGCTAAAAGCTGAATTATAAAAGAGTTGCATAACCAAGGGAAGGGTGGATTGCAAAAGGAGGAATTTAAACTGGCAGCTGTGGCTGAGAATCGGTTAGGAGTCAGGCCCTTTCGTACCAAACTGTGTGCTTGAACGCATATGTATATGGATGCGTGTATGTGTCCACAAGCTCACAAGTGTGTGTTCACAAGTGATGGGCAAAGGATGATGGTTGGGAAGTCATCTGCTGTCATAGAAAGAATGGGACAAGAGACAGGCTTTGATTCCAAGTCTGTCATGAACTAGCTATGCACTCTGGAGGGAGATTCTTAGGGTCTTCTCCATTTCTTCCTTTGCAACATAAGCATCTTTCCCCTGGCCTATATGCATCTTGGTGAGAAGAATCCATCACGAATATAACCTTTGGGGCTGCACTTCCTTCCTGTCTCCCACTGAACACTTAAGCTACACAAACACAAAAATCTCCTAAGGCACTGACTTGGCACATAGGTGCTACTGTCTTCTTGGAAGCGGGTGCGACCCCCTAGGAGATTGTGCTTCTACAAACAAGGTGTTGGTACAAGTTATGCACTGGCTTATGATGCAATTTGTATCAAAAGCACTACTCTTGAGCAACTTAACTCATTTTTCAGATAAAAAAAGCCAAAGGCCAGAGTCTGTGAAAATAGCAGTCTAGCTGATGTTTACCAAGTGTTGCTAAGGAACAGACACTGTGCTAATGATGCTGCTCCTACAAGTCCATGAATGAGATACCATCATCCTTCCCTCAGTTTCACAGGAAACTGAGGCTCAAAACAGTTAAGACTTGACATGAGGTCACGTAGTGATTCTTGGATGGAGCCGAAACAAAAATCTGGTCTCCTGTCCTCTAGGCCCTGGAAAAGCAATGAGTTCTGTTGCATAGGTATCCATTTTCCATGCCTCTCCTCTTGTGTCCCCATTTATCCCAGCCTAACCAGCCTGCCGGCTGAGCTTCCATTCTCCTGGAAGTCTTCATGGATAACGTAGCTACCTTAGTATCTGCCCTACCCTTATCCAATTTCTGTCTTGTATTACTGATTAATATATACGTGAGTTTCTTTTTTTCCATATGTGCAAGACAGCAAAAGATGTAAAGGGAGAAGAACAAAGACAGGGCTGGAAATGGAGGCTAGAGATCAGCTAGGCAAAAGAGAGAGGCAGCATCTCCAATAGAAGGGAAAAGGCAGAGATGAGGAAATGGGCAGGGCTGGCCTTTTGGCTTGGGGAGGAGGTACAAGTAGGAAGCACAGAGGAAATTATATTAGTTGGGTTGGAAGAGAGAAAGGGACAGGAACATTTCCTGGAAGCAGCATTGTCAGAGCATGGCTGGCACAGAGCAAGGCATTTGACATGTGCATTGGGGCGCCAGGTATCTGTGTTGGTCACAGTTCACTGGTCTAGGGCTGCCTAGGTTTATGGGCACAAGGGACTGAGGAACCTTCTGGAAAAATTGAAGGAACCAGGTAAGGAAAGCATGCTGGACCAGAGAGCAAAGCTGTGGAATCAAATATGAAGAATAAATGAGTAAAAGGCTGTGTCGGGCCTCCCTGGTGGCGCAAGGGGTTAAGTACAGCACTATGAAGCAATCCACAGCCTCTGCTGCACGAGTTTAATCCCCGGCTAGCCAGGAAGCAACACACATGGCGCAGCAGTCCTCTCCTGGCTCACCTGCTGCTCCCCTCAGCAGTGTACTTTGGTCAATCTGCCTGTTCTGTTCCCTACTCTGTCTCTGGTGAATCCTCTCATCCCCCATATCTCTGATCTGTACCCCAGCTCTTGCATGCATAAATGAATAAATCTTTTAAAAAAAAAAGGCTGTTTTTATTGTGGGATGAGGTTGAGTGTAGGGGCAGTGGGTAAAAATGGAAAGTCCCTTCTCTGAAGATGGTAGGGTCCTGCTCTGGGACCTTCCTCAGAGTACAATACCCTGGGGGACAGGAACTCTGCACTCACCTTTAGCAGGGCCACCACAAGCATTTAGCAGAGTTGGTAATGCCCAGAAGGGCCTGCCCCGATGGTAGTGTTCTGAAACTGGTGTCTGTGGGCTTTCAGGAGAGACTGCTGTTTGCCTGGCAGAATGGGTGGGCTCATGAGCCTATGGGGGACACTTCTGACTTCTCCCCGAAATAACTGAATTTTTCCCAGCTCCTCTATGAGCAGGTATTTGTAAGTGCCTGGGAAATTGGGTTCTTATTACTCTCTCAAGAGCTCCCATTCCCACAGGCTGTGAAAGTCTGGCAAACTTGGATTGTCAAATTTTCATAAGCCCCCTAATAGAGTTACACTGTAGAGTCACTACCCACTGTCAGAGGAGGGCACAGAAGAGACCATGTGACCTACCCAAAGTTACAGCCTGTGAATGGAAGAGCTGGGATTTGAACCCAGGTAGTGTAGCCCCAGAGCATGGGCTCTTGTTGATGTCTTCACTGCCTTCAGCTCATTGCTTTTTCACTGGGGCTAGAGCCCCGGGAGAGGATTTCCAAGGCCTTTATTAGATGCTAGGGTTTGGTTTCCCCAGTACCTAGGGTTCTGAACCCCAGCACTCTGGTGGGGTCTGTGCAGACCACAATTAGATTGGCATCAGTGGACAGTTCAGTTGGCTGGTGCAGTAATCACTTGCCCCTGGGGTTGCCCAGCTGCCCTGCCCTGCCATGCCCTGAGCTGTCTGGGCCTGGGCTATTGTGACAGAGGATGTAAACACCCACCTCAGGCCTGGGTGGTTCCAGAAAGCAATAAGCTGCTGAGTGCAGTGACCTGGGCTCCCCTCCCTAATCCCCAGCCTGTTAGTGTTTATCCCCTGGCTTCAGGCAGACAGAGGGGGTGAGGGGTGGAAGAACAGTGATGAGCCAGAGGGCAGCTGCCGGGTTTGCTGGGCTGGCAGAGGAGTCCAGGAAGAGGCCTTGTCTGGGCCACAGAGGAGCTGGGAGCCATGAGGGTGGTAGTATGCATGCTCTGGCTCCTGGGTCTCGGGGTGCCCCCCAAGGTCCAGGGCTCCTGCCCCTCTCATTGCAGCTGTAGCCTTCAGGTCCTGAGTGATGGCAGCAAGACCAGGTAAGGCAGCAGGCGTGTGGAAGGATAGCCCAGCTCCCATGGCTCCATTGGCTAGGCTGGTTTGGGAGGGATTGAAAGCAGGGTTATTACCACATCAAGTCTAAGGCTTTTGTCTGGACGGTCTCTACTTCGCTATCTTGTAACAAGCAGGTTGTGGGAGGCACCGGGTACCTCTACACATGGGGCTGGAGTGGGCATGAGTGTGCCAGTTCCAGGAAATCCTTCCTGAGCCCTCCTCCAAGATCCTAGTGGAAAGGATCCTTCCTTAAAATTTCTTTCTTTTCCTCTCCTTCCTTCCTGTCATTCCAACATCCTCTCTGTATCCCCAGTCCATTCCTTCCTGGACCTCTTCTATTCACTAATTTTATCTCCCAGGAATACTCAGTCACATCCCAGGTATTTCCTACCACCCCACCCATGATCGGGCCACCTACACCCACAGGCTCTCTCTCCTGACCCAGGCCCCAGGGTCCTTAGCCTCCCCTTTTTTTTTTGGGCTTACCAAAAGGCCTATCCATTGCAAGCAAGCATCCCTTCATGCTCAGCTCTTCTTCGAATTTCCCCACTTCCAGCTGAGCCCTGAGAGCACATGCAACCTCCCCTCTCCCCCTTCCATGGGACCTTGCCAAGGCCACCATGGTAGGTGGATGTTTGCTCCTCCACACAGCTCATTCTCCCCTCCTAAACTGTCTTCTCTCCAACCTCTTCAGCTTATCCAGTAATGACCGCTGTATTTCCCATCCTGCTCAAGGGTTTCACCTCTGGCTCAAGGCCTTTCCTGTTATCGTTCCAACCTCCTGTAATCCCATCCTTTCTTTCTCCCTCAAATTAGATGGGAGCAATGGAGCCACCGATGATTTCTGACCATTATCAGTGTGACCCTTTTGATGATCTTGGTAATGGGTGTCAGGTTGATTGGGTATGAGGGCAGGAAGAGAATAGAGTCACCCTGTATGATCTGAAGAACAGGAAGAGCTCTATTTTTGGCCCAAGACGCTGATATCGGCAAAGGTAAATATTCTCTCCCCCTAAAAAGTCAGGGCTGAGCCCCAAGCAGGCCTGGAAACAGCCCAGGACCAAGGACCAGGGTAACAAAAGGCCTTCCTTGCCATCCTCAGAGGGCATAGGGCTCAAGGTCATACAGCATCCATGGCAGACCTGGTCCTGGAAATCAGAGCTAGAGTTCCACTTCCAGAGTGCTTCTCACCTGTGATGCTTAGGGCAGGGGGCAAGGGATGGCTCCAGCTAGCAGTTAGCCTTAGGAGAAACACGTTCCAAGGGCAGTTTCCAGGGCGTCTAATGTCAGTGAGTGACCATTCCTTCTCTGAAGCCAACGTGCTCACATCTGTTCTACCTGCTGACTGTCCCACAACTGATGTGCATCAGTCCATCTGCATGGAGTGGCCTTTGAAGAGAATGAGGCCAGGAAATGCTGAAGTTGACCCCATTGGTCATGGCACAGACTGTGCAGTCAGATTGAGGCTCCTTCCATGTATCAGCCCCCTCCCCAGCCACTTCCTTGCCCCCTTCTCTAAGCGGACCTCTCAGAGAGCCCAGCCCTTATGTCTGAGCATCCTGAGTGATCTGCTCCATGCTCCTGTGTCATGAACAGGACATGTGTACCTGTGGATATTGGGGTTACTGAGGTGGGGGGAGACTGCACACCTGAACAGATGTGTTCCTAGTTTGCTAGTTTGCTAGTTTATGCCTAGTTTGCTCATGAAGTGACATACTGTTGACTATAATTGGCTCTTCTTAGCAATTTGATTTCTCCCTTGACCATTTTTTCCTCGTCCAGGATCTGTTCTGCCATCAACTCCCACCTACCTCCTCTTTGCAACACCCAAACTGGTATAATCACACTCTATCATTGTCCCAGTTGTTCTTTCTTCCTTAGCTGAATTATAACTTGTGCTTGTTAAGGATATTTCCCTTTATACCTGATGTGACTGTGCTGTTGTCATTGATAAACACAGCACTGAGTTGTGGGTTCCTTGGGGCTAGAGACTACTTCCTGCTATCTCTAGCCTCTGCTTCAGGGCTAACTTAATAGGAGAAGTTTTAGGAAGTCACTATTTGGGCAGAAGGTGCATTGGAAGGAGCTAGTAGGACTGGCCTGTTCTACTGGGATGCAGAAATTCATGACAGTGGTCAATGGCATTGGGCCCCTACAGGTGACAGGTATGCGGAGCTGGTATGCACATTACCTCATAGAAACCTCCATTCTGGTTATAGGAAAACTGAGGAAAACAGAGGTTAGGGAACAGACTCAGATACAACACCAGCAGGCCTGGATCCAGCTGCAGAGATGCAAAGTCCCAACCCTCATGTTGATATGGGCCCTCAGAATCAGGAGAGGTCAAGGTGCTTGTATTTCCAATGCCCTTCATATATATATTCCACCCCCCCTTAAAAAAATAAAACCAGAAAAAATGGTTACAAAAGCAGAGATATAATTTAACAAACAAACCTCTTAACGCATATATGCACGTGATAATGCAGAAGATGACCTCAGGATTTATGAATATTACTCATCCCAGTGCACTGCGGTGGTGTGGGCTATAATGAGATACAACAATTGACGGTCCTTCAGATCAGTAGCCCAGACCAAAGGGCCCTCTTGGGACTCCCGTGAAGGGCTCTGGAAGCAAGAATTCCCCCCCAAAGAAAACATTTATTTCTGCCTTCTCTCCGGGGCTCACCACAGCCTGGAGCCAGGCTTTGGGGGTCTGTGTTGATTCGCACAGCCAGAAGACTCTTGAAGGCAAGTGGGGGGAGGGAGTCCCAGATCCAACAAGACCCTTGCTCAAATAGCCCCCATTTCTGTGACCAGGACTGTGGTGTGTAACGACCCTGACATGACCCTGCCCCCAGCTTCTGTCCCGCTGGACACCTCCAGACTGCGCCTGGAGCGGACGGCCATCCGCAGGGTGCCTGGGGAGGCCTTCAGGCTGCTGGGCCGCCTGGAGCAGCTGTGGCTGCCCTACAACGCCCTCAGCGAGCTCAGCGCCCTCATGCTACGAGGCCTGGGCCGCCTGCACGAGCTGAGGCTGCCTGGGAACCGCCTGACCGCCTTCCCCTGGGCCGCGCTCAGGGACGCCCCACAGCTGCGGCTGCTGGACCTGCAGGCCAACCGCCTTTCTGGGGTGCCTCCGGAGGCGGCGGGCTTCCTGGGGAACCTCACCTTCCTGGACCTCTCCAGCAACCAGCTGCTAAGGCTCCCGCAGGAACTGCTTGCTACTTGGACTCACCTGCAGACTGGGCTCTTCCTTCCTGGACGCCAAGGCAGATTGGTCCTAGGTAAGAAACTGCATCCTTCACTTGAAAGCACCTTGGTGAACGCTGGGGTCTTAAGCAAGTGACCAAACCTCTCTGAATCTGAAGTCTGTGACTGGGAAATAGAAACACACTTGCCCTCTAGGGTGTCTGAAGATGGAGTGAGAAGTGCATATTGGCAGATCCAAATCAAACTGCTGTTCATATCCTAAGTCTGCTTCTTATTTGCTGTGTGTCCTTGGGCAAATTACTTAGCTTCTCTATGCCTTGGTTTCCTTTCGTAAAAAAAGGATGATAATAATATCATAACAGGTTGGTACTGCGGGTAAAAAGGATTGCTTAATATGGTGAGCACAGTGATGTGCCACCTAGATCCCAGTCAAGGTGGGACTGGCTGCTCAGCCTCTGGAGTGTTTGGCAGCAGCCTTTAGCAGTCAGCTCCGTCAGACAGCCTCGGCTGCAGAGCAGCCTTGCCCAACGTCACACACCCTTTCTGGGGATGGCCCTTACTCAAAGATCTACCAGCTCTTTCAGCTCCAGAGCCCCCAGAGTTCTCCGTTCTCCAGGCCTTCTTCACGTGTAGCTTGCAAGTCATCATCTCCCAGTTTGCTTCCAGAGATCACAACTTTCATGTCTTCAATAGTGACTCTCCCTCTTGAGAATCTCTTCCGAGCACTGGGTGCACACACTCGGAAGGGACATGGACCCTACGTTTTGCTAGTTGGTCAGTCCTTTCTGGCCATCTGCATTCGTGTGGCATTGAAGTTTCCCTAAACTCCTTCTTGCCTCATAGGATTTGATCTTTACTGCATCTGGGGGGAGGGGGGAATAGATGGAGCTATTATAGTGCCATTTGTTTTACAGATAAACAAACTTACCCTGGGGGGTAGTAATGGTGGGTTTGGCTTAAGGCTCCTTTCCTACTGGCTGCTGCTTTTTCCTGTCCTTTAAAAGGTTGGGAAACTCAGTGGGGTTCGGGATAAGGGGTGATGGGGTAATGTAGGGGCAGGAATGGCCACGGAGCAAGTTTTCTGATCCCCTGCAGCCCTGGTAAAGAAGGAGTCCTGGAGCCCTAAGTGGTTTTTGCACGTCTTTTATTTAGACTTGCATATGGCAGGCAGGGGTGCTGGGGGGCCGGGAGACTGGCAGGCCTCCCAGTCCCCAGCAAGTCTTCACTCTATCTGGGCTCTCCGGCATTCTCTCTCTCTCTCTCTCTCTCTCTCTCTCTCTCTCTAGGCTTCTGTTCTGCTTATTTGCTTCTCAGCTTCTACTGCTTCTCTTCTCTCGGCTTCTGTTTGTTCTTGGCTTCTGCTGGCGTCCCCGTGACGCTGCCCCTAAAAGCCCAGTCTTAGCCCAGGTAAATCCCATCTACCTATGCCCACACCCTATTACAGGTGCCCGCCATCAGGCATGCATTCGGGACCACAGGGTTCCGTCATCTATCCTAATGGCAGGAGGGCAGAAAAGCCTGAAATTTTACCTTACCCTACAGGTAGCATCTGAAAAGAGGCCTCCTTCCAGGATGTCCTGGGGAGACAGCACTGAGGGTAGAGCAATCTCAGCAGTTTGGGGCAGTTTTTGCCCTGAGGCCTGGGAGAGGAAATTATTGTATTTGAAAACCTTATTTCCTGGGATGGGGAACAGCAAATCCCACCCCAACCTCATCTACCCTACCAATTTTCTTACCTGAAGAAGGGGTTAGGATACTACTCACATGGAAAATTTTTGCTTATTTGAAAATCAAATTTAACTGTCAAGTAAGGAAAACGAGGCTCAGGAGCTCTTCCAGTGCACACAGCCAGGAAGCAGCCTCCTGATACTCAGTTTCTCAAAGCAGAGCTGAGTGGGTTACACCAGCTAGTCCCTTCCTTCAATTCTTTGCTGTTTCTAATAAACCAGTGGCTTAGCAGGTGAGCCAGATCACCTTTCCTGCCCAAGAACTGTCTGGCCTTGGCCTGGAGAGTTACAGGTGGGGGTTAACTCATTTTGGAAAATTCATTTAAAATTTAATCACACAACTTACGCATGAATATATGTGGACTTTTCAGATGTTACGGAAAAGGCTAACGACCCTTTTGTCATTTCCTATTCCTTCTTCCTCTCCTAAAGACAGCCAATATTATGTTTATTTACATGTTCCCTATCTTTTACAATATTGTAGGGCAGGACTGGACACAGTGCAGGTTTTCTGATCCCATGCAGACCGGGTAAAGGAGGAGTCAGAGTCCTTAGTGGGTTTTTTTGCAGGTCTTTTATTGGGGTTCACCAGACATATGGCAGGCAGGGGTGCTGGGTGTGGGGCTGGGAGGCTGGCAGGCCTCCCAGCCCCAGCAAGTCTTCACTCTATCTGGGCTCTCTGGAGTTCGTTCTGCTGCTTCTCGGCTTCTCTTTCGGCTTCGGCTTCAGCTTCTACTGCTGCTGCTGGCGTCCCCGTGACGCCGCCCTTAAAAGCACAGTCTTAGCTCAGCTGAATCCCATCTACCTCTACCCACACCCTATTCCAGGTGCCCGCCATCAGGCATGCATTCAGGACAAGGATCCATCATCTATCCTGATGGTGGAAGGTCAGAAAAGCCTGATATTTTCTTTACCCTACAGATATTCATATTCATATATACATAGGTGTAAGGTCAGGAACGGGCACAGTGCAGGTTTTCTGATCCCATGCAGACCGGGTAAAGGAGGAGTCAGAGTCCTCAGTGGTTTTTTGCAGGTCTTTTATTGGGGTTCACCAGGCATATGGCAGGCAGGGGTGCTGGCCTGCCAGCCTGCCAGCCCCCAGCAAGTCTTCACTCTATCTGGGCTCTCTGGTGTTCGTTCTGCTGCTTCTCGGCTTCTCTTTCGGCTTCTGCTTTGGCTTCTCTTTCGGCTTCTGCTTTGGCTTCTCTTTCGGCTTCTACTGGCGTCCCCGTGACACCACCCTTAAAAAGCACAGTCTTAGCACAGGTGTACCCACTTCAGGTGCCCGCCATCAGGCATGCATTCAGGATCACAGGGTTCCCTCATTTATCCTGATGGCGGGAGGGCAGAAAAGCCTGATTTTTTACCTTACCCTACAATAGGTATATATACCTACTTCTACATTGAAATTTTAGCTGTCTGTTTTACATAGACTTTCATCACATTGTATGTACCAACCAGTACATCTGTTCACCCAGCAGTATGTCTTGGAGATCTTTGTAACACATGAAATGGATCAACTTCATGTTTTTCAGCTACTAAACGTTATTCCACAATATAGTTACATTGTAATTTACTTAGCCATTCCCCTTCAGTGGATCTTTAGATTGTTTCCATTATTTTGTTGGTACCTATGATGTCACAGAGAACATCTTGGCAGTTCATCCTTGTGCACAGACAAATGTTTCTCTAGGATTGGAACTGAAAAGTGGAATTGCTAGGTCATGGAGAGTGTGCTGTAGTCTTTTTAGTATCAGTTGGATAGTCCCTAAGTGACAGGATCAATTCTCACCCTCTACCAGTGGTGTGGGAGGCTACCCATGCATTATTCCCTCTGCAAGCTTGAGTGTCTACCAATGTGAGAGCATAAAGCTAGGTCCTGTGGAAATAGCAGGCAACAAAAATGAGGAAAATCTAATCTTTCAGGAAATGAGAAATTAAAATTGTCAGAATGTTTAACTTTTGCAATCTGATGGGTGAAAGTTACACTGTCTTTTAACTTTGCCCTTTGAATTAATTCTTTGGGGACTCTGTTGTCATAGGTGAAAGCCAGCTCTGGGAAGTGATGAATCTTGGAGTGCAGATGTATCATTAAATGCATTTAACCAGTGACAGAGGGCGGTCACCACTAGTGTATAGTGTGGTAGGATAGGGAGAGAAGGAACTGGCATCTTCTTAGCTAGAGTTCAAAAAGACTTGAGAGTTAGGGATATGCAAGCAGATCTGAATTCACTCTCTTTGACACTTGATATTCCTTACATACATAAACCTATGTATGTAATTATATAACATGTCTTTGATGATTGACCATTGATTATAAGACATATCAAATTTAATAACAATCTTTTGGGGGATGAAAAGGACACTGCGTTAAGTGTATTCATTTGTGTTTCAGGAACACAAACATATTAACAGAAGTTGTGCCTTAGGATTGAAGACACCTTTTCCCTTTTAACTGTTGAGTGGTCTTTGACAGCGTAGGTGCAGAATCTGCTTTCAGCTCTGTAAATATGTTCACTTTTAAAATGAAGAGGACTGGGAATATGACATAAGAGTTGATTTTCTGGCCCCCTCACTCCTTTTTACCCTCTTTTAAATCTGTGTCAAAGGGATCAGACTCAGAATGGCCATGCTCCTAGCTGTGGTGATACTGAAAATGCCACTGAGGCTGGGAGGAAGGGGTTAAAAGTTGCGGTCTTGAAGCACTTATCAAAATGGGTTTTGGCATATTGCAGTTACTGCAGAAATACTCACTGACTGGCCAGTAGCCTGAATGGATCAGTTCAAGAGTCACAGGAGTCATTGCCAATTTGGTGGGCATGCTATTTGGCCTGCCCAGTGCTTATTATGAGTTATCTTTATACCTGTACAACCCTGAAATGGAAGGAACAATACCACCTGAGATGAAGAACTAGCCTTAAGCTTGCATGTTAACGGGACAAGGAGCTGCTAACTCCGAGCCCAGATCCTGTCTTCTCCTCCTGGGGACAGGGAGCAGGGGATGGGGATTTAAATATCAGGATATCTACGGCTCACCTCTTTCCTCCAATCTTCTCCCTGCAGGACTTCAGGATAACCCCTGGGTGTGTGACTGCCGACTCTATGACCTGGTCCATTTCCTGGAAGGTTGGGCCCCAAACATGGCCTTCATAGGGGACAGACAGAGGTGTGGCAGCCCGCACAGCCTGGCTGGAGTGGCCGTCAGCCAACTGAAACTGAGGAAATGCCAGAGTCCAGAGCTCCGTCCAGGGGTGGCCAGCATCAGGAACCCTTTGGGCAGCACAGTATTGCTACGTTGTGGGGCCGCTGGGGGTCCCTGAACCTCATATGAGCTGGAGGAGGGCCAACGGGCACCCACTGAATGGCACAGGTGTGTGAACTACAAGGTCTGCTGTGCTGAGCTCCGGGTGGGTCAGCATGTCCAGTGGGATGGCAAGTTTGTAAAGAGATGGAGCTAGTGGTGTAAGCCAGGCCTTTTGCTTCCAAGGTGAGCACAGGCTCCACCTAGTGGTAGTGCCTGGAAACAATGGCTTCAGTGCTGACCATGGCTTACAATCTGTCCTCTCGCACTGTACCAGCCACTCTTGTCAGGGACTTGGGGCCCACCCCGAGGGGAACAAAAGTCTGACTGTTTGGTGGAAGATGCTCTTTTAGTGTAATACAGATGCTCTTTTAGTGTAATACAGGAGTAATTTATGACAATAGTTAGCATCTGTTGCACTCTTAATGTACTAAGTGTATTTTAGGCATATCACTGAATGCTAAAGAACCTGATTATTCTTACTTTGCATATAAATAAGTTGAGGCTTTGAAGGGCTAAATGCTTGGCCTACATCACACAGCTAGAGCTAGGAGGAGCTGGGCGGGGAAGCTCTGGTGGACTCCACGGCAGGGCTCTCCATGCTGTAAGGCAGAGAAGATTCACCATGAGAGGAGGTGGCAGGTATTAGACCCATCTCCATGCAGAAAGAGGATCAAGGAGGAATAATTTCTTAGTACCTGATCGAGAACCTTACGTCCCTTGCACGCCGCCCCCACCCCCAGCTTTCTCTTTGTCTCCCTCAGCTGTGTGGGCAAGAGTATTGCTCAAAGACTGTGGGTTTGAAATCAATTTACAAGCCAAATTGTATCAGAAGTTCCACTGGGTAAAACAGAAATTTGAATGTGCTCTGCTAAGGGTGGGCAGAGAACTTCCAGGCACACCCTAACCCACTTCACCACCAAAACACCTGCCCTCCACTCCTGCAGGGCCAGTGCTGCAGAACTCCAGGGCATTGAAGAACACAGTTTGCACATCTCAGATTTGAAAGACTCTGCCTTAGCCTGGGTCTCCCCAAATTTAGCCCAGGTGATCTCCCATCTCCTCGATTAGCCTAAGAAAGTTGAATGACTCCCAGTGTTTCCTTGGGATAACAAGGTGTGTTTCCTTGAGATAACAGGGTCTTGTGCACAGCCTGGAGGTTGTGGATTTATCCCTGGGAGGGAGGGTGGGGCAGATGGGTCCAATCATTCTCCCAAGTGCACCACTTTCTCTCCAGTGCACCAGGAAGTCACCAGTGATGGCACGAGCTGGTTGCTGCTGGGCCTGCGTACCGTGTCCCACCTGGACTCTGGAGACTACATCTGCCAGGCCAAGAACTTCCTGGGAACCTCTGAGACTCGTGTATCTCTGGTTGTCACTGAGCCCGGGGCTTCCACAGAACACAGTGGGAGCCCAGGGCCACTCTGGGCAAGGACAGGCGAGGAAAAGGAAGCTGCTGCCTACAATAAACTGGTAGCCAGGCATGTCCCCCACTTCCCCAAGCCTACCATCCCAGCCACTGGGCCCCCTGTGTCCAATACAAAGGAGGAGCTGACCCTTCAGCACTTGCAGGTAGGTGCCCCAGGAGAGCACTTGGACACACAGGCAAGACCCCAGGAGGCCCGACTGGTGAGGTCACTCAAGGTGGTGGGAGACACTTACCAGAGTATCACCTTGGTGTGGAAAGCACCCCAGGCTGGAAACACAACTGCCTTCAGTGTCCTCTACACAGTCTACGGGCAGCGTGACATGCGGCAGGTGATGGTGCAGCCTGGGAAGACCAGTGTCACCATCCATGGGCTGTCCCCCAAGACCAAGTATGTGGCATGCATCTGTGTGCAGGGCCTGGTGCCCCAGAAAGAGCAGTGTATCATCTTCTCCACCATGAGGTGGTGGACACTGAGGGCACCCAGTGGCTCATCAACATAGTGGTGATCACGGTGGCTGCAGTCATCGCTTTGCCCCCCACGCTGCTTGTCTGCTGCGGTGCTCTCCAGAGACGCTGCCGCAAGTGTCGCTCAGGGGGTTCCACCGAGCTCGGAGGTACCTACATCACTCTGGAGAGGCTTGGTCACAGTGAGGATCACTCTGAGCAACTGTCCCGGCACAATCTCAGTGAGGCTGACAGACTTCTCTCGGCTCAATCCAGCCTGGACTCTCAGGCTTTGGGGGTCAGGGGTGGCAGACAAATGAATGAGTACTTCTGCTAAGGGGTGTGTTCCTCCTGTGCACACACATGCCCACACACCTGTTCCGTGCACTCTGCCTCTTCTACTTGATGCACAGCTCTGATACCTGAGTCCATGCTCACCCACTCTTACCCCCTTGGTACCTGCCTACTCAAACACTTACACACAACAACAGCTAACACTTACTACACCCTTGTTGTTTGACAGAAAGTATTCTAAGTACTTTATATGCATTAACTCATTTAATTCTTATAACAACCCTTTGCACCAGGCACCAATGTTCTCTTTCATTTCCTGGAGTGGAAACAAGGGTTTAAGTAACTTGCTTGTTTTAGTTTCTGCTGATAACAATGAAATAAAAGCAAAATCTCCATAATAGGCAGCAACAGGCACTTGATTTCACACAATCTATAGATGTGTGGTTGACTGGGGTGGCTCTGCTCCATGTGTCCCATTTGGGGCCTGATCAGGCTTCTCTCGAAGAGAGGGTCAGATGATATAGAAGAATAAACAAAACTATGTGATAGTTCTTAAGCTCTTGGCTTAGAACTGCCATTTCTGCACAGCTTCTATCTGCCAAAGCAAATTCCACAGCAAAAACCCACTTTAACAGGGCAAGGAGAGTTCTGCTATGGAGGTGATAGAAGTAGGAAATATTTGTTGAGAAATGTGCTGATCTACTATATTGTCTGCAATTACTGAGCTAAGAAATAATAGTCTGGAATTCCGGTTAAGGCAATTGGCTCCAGAGCCCATAGTTCCTTACTACTTTCTCATATTACATTCTGATTGAATTTTTGCTGACCCATGGGCACTTACAAAACACTCTCTCTATGCATTATAATGTTTGTGTACACACACACACTCACACAC